ATACACAATACATACACGCATATACACATACATACATACATATATAAATAAGCTATTGATAATCATAATAACAATATATTTGGACAGTGGTTCAACCTTCGATTAGTTTATGAATATCCGTTCTTGCATTTTCCTTTACAAATGATACTAATTGTTTTTTGAAGCGTTTCATAGAAGTTTCATATGTAATTTCTTTTGGTAAATAATTTAATAGTTTGGGAGCTAGATACCGATAGCTTTTCTGTCCTGTAGATTTGAAAACCAGTGGTATACAATGGTAGTGCATTTTTCTCGTTGCATATGGATGGTTTGAAGTGTCATGTTCAGCTTTGTTCTTGTATAGCTGACATCCTATCTGAACGATGAATAATTGTCTTATATCTAAAATTTGTGTTTCTTTATACAGCAAATTACTTGCATATCTTGCAGGTTTTTTGAGTAATATTCGAAGAAATCGTCTCTGAGAGACTTCAAGAGCATGTAGGTGAGTTTTTGATACTCCTCCCCAACCAATGATGCCATAATTTAAGTGTGATTCGACTAAACTGTGGTATAAAAGTTTTTTGTATTTATAATTCAAGAATCTTCCTACTTGTTTCAGTCTATATGAAATACAACGTAGTTTTTTTGTTAAATACTGTATGTGGCAGATATTTAATTTTTTTCGCAGGTTTAATTACAAGATCTTGTCGAATGTTCAGAGTATATTCCGGCAAGGATGTTGAGAGACTGCAGAATGATAAGTATACTGTTTTGTCAAAATTAATTGAAAGTAATCTACTGTCAAACCAGTCTTTGAGATTTCTTAGGTCTTTTTCAATGTTTAGTTTAAGATTGTACAAGTCTACCATACAGATACAGATACCATACAGATACACCATTCCAGTTTATGCAGTTTATTGGTTTTTATTTATCCTTCTGGGGACTGTCATATTTCACAATCTGAAATGAACAAAAATGCTGACGATATCTCTACTATTTGGAATACAAGTCAGACTGATCTGAATGTTTCTTTTCAATCATCCTAATAAGAAGCGTTAATGAATGTAGGATATGGCTACTGTTCAGATGATGAATAAGCCTGGATAGGTTGATTGAGGACAGTCAAGAGTTAGAAATTGTTGAAGTACGTATTGTGAATTGATGTTTATGGTGGGATGAGAATAAATATGAACATGAAGTTCACAAATGAGATTGAACAAGATGGTCAACTTCCTTTCTTTGATATGATGACGAAAAAAACTCATGGGACAATTTTAAGATAAATGTTTTATCGAAATTGAACACATACTAATAGATACCCACCTCACATATGGAATAACCATGCGTGTGTTGAATAAGGTATAATAATAATAAACTGTTTCTATAACAGGGTAACAATAATTTACTTTCGATCAGTGGCGGCGCAAGAGCTAACTTGAATGTGGGAAAGGTACGCGAGGTGCAAGAAGAAAGGTTTAAATAAAAAAAAACACGAAATTAAACATTTTTTTATTCAATACGAAACCATTACTAAAATTTTTACTCATGTACTTTTTTGGAATATTAATCAACAGAATTGAAACCCGAGAAGCCCGAAAAAAGTGATAACTTAAACTAATTTGAGTTGAACTATTCAATATATCTCTGTATCTGTAGAGTAAGGAGGGTAAGTGTAGGCCCACATCACTTAAGCCACACTTGACCCATTGTACATTCTCCCGAGGAGTTATCCTCCTAGGTCATTGTCCATCCTGTCCTTTCCAGGAAGGTGGACAGGTCTCTGGGAGACATCTCCTTTATATCAGCAGGTGTAGGCCAAGACTCGCCGAACACACACTCTCTTATTGACGATATCTCCGGACATTCGCATAGGACATGCCTGACAGTTTCATCTTCCTATTCACACATCCTGCATAAAGGTGTGTCCACTAGCCCCATATTGTGGAGGTGTTAACTTAGTTGACAGTGACCAGTCAGAAATCCTACTGTTGAGCGTAGATTTTTCCTGGTCATCGCCAGATATTTCTTCGGCGCCAGCTTCCCAGGGTTACCAAGGGTGATCCTGGCAAGATCGCATCCTTTGATTTCATCCCATCTCTTTAGGGATGGAGCTTGGGTGTGAAGTTTGGCTAGTTCCGCAATTGTCGAAGTCATCAGGCCATAGGTACCACTGGGTCCTAAAATTCCTAGCCCAGCCGTTTCCTTGGCCCTTTAATCCACCTCAGGATAATGTTGTTGTCTCCGAATCTTTGGCTGAATCTTGATCGTAGGTACTCTAGTACTACCCTGAGGTAACACGTTGTCTGTTCAAGACTAATAGGGCTTGTCTGCTATCAGTGCAGATTGTTATGTTTTTGCCAGAAATTTCTTTCCTAGTTATTTCTTTTGTGGCGATTGAGATACCAGCCAGTTCTGTTTGAACCACGCTGGTATTTTTCCCATTCCCCAGTTAATCCTTAGGCTACAGCTGTAGAGGACGAGAAAACAGAAACAGTCGTCTTTCGATATTGTTACTTTCACAGATTACTGAATAAAGGATAGATAAAATAACTCGTCTAATTTTTACGATCGGTTTCGGTTTAATAAACTAAGTCAGTTTACCTAAATTGGTGTCACCACCTAAGTCAGGGGTTCCAGGATTCCCTTTTAAGGTATAGTACTGTAGTTTTTGTAG